GCTGCCAAGAAGTACGATCTTGAGGCCTGGTTCCCCGCCAGCGGGGCCTTCCGCGAGTTGGTGTCGTGCTCCAACTGCACAGACTACCAGGCGCGCGGTGTGAATTGTCGGTTTGGGTCAAACATGCGCAACGTATCGGCAAACAACGTCAAGGAGTACTGTCATATGCTGAATGGAACACTGTGCGCCATCACCAGAACGATGTGCTGCATCTGCGAGAACTATCAAACAGAAGAAGGCGTGGTCATTCCCGACGTGCTGCGTCCATATATGATGGGTATCGAGATGCTGAAGTTTGCGGACAACGTGCCATCTGCGGAAGTGACGGAGCAAGAGTAAGAAACGATGTATCTGCTTCCTACTACTATAATTATATGTGTATTATATATATATACATATATATATATATATGTACGTGTGTGGGTGTGGCAGGAGATGTTTGATTTTCTTTATTTTGGTAGGAGCGCACGTCAGTGCACACGTAAGGAATCGAACGAGGAAAAACCCACCCACCCCACCCCACCCACCCCCCCCAAAAAAAAAACACGAAAAAGTAGAAAAGGTATGAAAGAGGCGTCTCTGCAAAACAGCGTGAGATGGCAAGAGGGGATAAAGAGCGTTTTCTTTTTTTCTTTTTTAAACTTGCTGTGGTGGTGGTGGTGTTTTTTTAAAAAAAAAAAACACACGTGAATGGCTAAGCGCTCCTATATGCGTGGTAGGCGCGGGGGACGACGTATCCCGACAGGAGTCGGAGGGACAAAAAAGAATAAGAAAAAAAAAGCAATGGGGGGGGGACGCAAGGAAACATAAAGTAGCAATACGTAGGGGAAAATCCATTTTTTTAAGTATGAAAAAGCAGTGAATTTATTGTAAGAAAAAGACGCCTATTCTGAGTTGGGTTGGGCAGTGCTGTATCCGCGAGGTAATTTCATTATTATTTCATTTTATTTATTCAGACTTTTACTGTGTTGTAGTTTGTTTGTTTAAATATTTTTGTCCTCTATTCCCTCCTTCAGTTTTTTCCCGTCGCTCCCCCCTTAATTAATCCCCCCACATCTGTAGTGTCACACGTGAGGAAGGGCTGTTGTTTTTATTTTTGTTTGTCTTCTCTTTTCTTTTGATGCGGTGTGGAGGGGAATCGAGGAGATGAAGAGGGACCGCAATGACGATGTGGTGCGAACGCCAACCGACAACTGGGACTTTTCCCCACACCACGCATTAGAGGAAGAGGCGAAGGCGTTTGAGAAAGCTGCGGTGCAACGCTACATCCTTGGGCTTCTGCATTTGAAGGGTGAGGATCCGAAGGCAAAGCCGGCCAATGTCGCCGCGTCCATTCTGCATTCCCTCAATGAACGGTTTAAGCGGCTTGTTAAAATAGGACAAGGAAGCTTTGGAGAGGTCTACATTGTCTTTGACACCGTGACGCAGCTCCACCTCACAATGAAACGCGTGCAACTCTTGCGCGGTGCAGGTAGACGTGTAATGGGCCTGTGTAATACAACCTCCAGGGAAATGAATCTGTTGCGTATCCTTAAGCATAAAAATATCGTTGATTTATTTGACTACCATGTTGTCCCGGATGGAACTCTCATTATGCTGATGCCTGTTGTGGCGTATGATCTGGTCTCTCTGATTCGGCTTTGGCGAAACGGCGGCCCCCGTGGGGAGCCAAGCGCTGGTCGTATGCCACTCCCCACCATTAAGTGTATCTTTTATCAGCTTCTTACCGGAGTAGCCTACCTACATAAGGAGCGGGTAATTCACCGCGATGTGAAACCGAGCAATGTCATGATTGATGAAAAGGGTGTTGTGAAAATTATTGACTTTGGCTGGGCCCGCTTCTGTCCTCCGCGGTGGCGTGGGCCAATGACAGGGCCGCCGTGCCCTGTAGCGTATCGCCCACCGGAGATTCTTCTCGGCGGGAGGCACGCAGTGAACTATGACGCCTCCGTCGATCTGTGGTGCTGCGGATGCATTCTCTTCGAGATGCTGTCCGGTGGAAAGATGTTTATCACCGCCCGCAGCGAGGTGGAGGCGGTGACGGCCATCACGGACTGGCTTGGTTCCCCGTCGTCAAAGAGCGCGCTGTATTACGGGTGCTCGGGTAAGTCTCTCATCCGCTTCAAAGAGAACCAGCCAAGCCATCTGGCCCACCGGTGCGAACTGCTAAACATTGACCGGGATAGTGTGGACATGCTGGATGCAATGCTTCAGCTGGAGCCAAGGCGACGCCGGCCCGCCGAGGAGCTGCTGCAGCACCGCTGGTTTTCCGCCGTACCCGTGGCGTGCGAGCCGCATGAAATATCGCTGCCAGAGCATAACATTTATCGTTGGTTGGAGTCGCGGCGTTCCTCGCAACGGCGTTGAGAAGTGATGTATGGTGCGAAGGACGAAAGCAACAGGAACGAGAAGCAAGCAAGGTCGAAAAACGAAGAAACGAAACGATCGAGTAATCAGGAGAAAACAAAGATGTTTTACTACTTGTGAGCCTGGTTTGCGCTTTGGTTGTCTGTGTATGCAGTGATGGCATGGTATAAACGCTCCTCTGTTATCCGTCTTGTAGGGTGTAGGGAGGGGTAGCAGCAGGTGAAGGAACAGGGCGGGCGAAGAGAAAGAAAGTGAAGGTAACGAGGTAATAATCTTGTATATCAAAGTAGGCAGTGAGGTTCATCATTGTGTTTGTTGCTGCTTTACTTCGCCTGATAGACATGAATGTTCACGGGGCTGACGAGAGTGGTTGGGTTGAACACTACCTTGACCTCTACGCAGACGAGGATGCTCGTAGAGATGGTGGAAAACAATCCTGTTTTGTGACCTCTACGGAGCTGTTTGAGAGACTTCGGGAGGAGTCCTTACTGGATGAGCTTGTCATGGGGGTGTACGTCTACACAGAGCCAAGAAGCTCGTGGATGCTTCTTACAATTCTGTCAGGAGATCACTATTTTGTGGTTGTCGAGACGCATAGCTGGTGGTGGTCCATTGAACTGCGGGATAGACTGATGGTGGTGCAGCGCGGAAAGGACTTCTCCAACGTGCAGAACCGCTGCCGAGGTCGATACCGCCGCCACCGCTTACTGCAAAATGGGCCTCTACTTTTATACCATGGAGTATGTGCGCGGCGCAGTCTTTATGATGTTCTTGTGTTGGCTTGTCGTCAAGGCTTCTTTAACGGCGGCGGCGTGTCCAGGCACTCACCGTCCTTGGCCCTTGTTAGTTTTATCTGCAAAGAATGTGATGTGCGTCAGTTGAGTGGGACCAGTCGTGTATGATGCATACATACATTCTTTTTTTTTACCGTTTGTGGAGTGCAACAGGGGTGGGTGGGGGCGCAATGCGTTATTTTTGGTGTGTGCACCCCTTCCTTTTCCTTTTTGAACATTATTGACTTTGCGGTCATGGCTCGGAAACATATATGTCTTGCACCGACCTTGACTTTTGAATCCCATCCACCCACCCACCTACCTACCTACCCACCCCTCGGCATCCGTGCAAGCGTACAGGTGTGTGTCTGTTGCCTTGCTGTGTTCTTTGCTATCGAGCATGTTGCTTGTGTGTGAGTCGGCACTTTTTTTTTTTTTCTGTATGCTTCCTTTTGGGTGTGGGTCGTCACGGAGAAAGCGCATAGCAACGACACAGAGGGATTCGCACGGACGCAAACAACGGCATACAACTTTCAAGGGCTAAACACCACGGCAGGAGAAAAAGAAAAAAACAAGGATTGACCGGGGGAAAGCTGGCACCTGTTGGGATGGTGTCTCTTATCAGGCAGGTGGTGACGGCGATGAACGAGATTGCGCCGCTGTGCCTTGCCGATCATTCCTGGGACAACGTTGGGCTACTCGTGGAGTCGCCGGATACCAACAACTCGGGGGTCGTTCTTCTCACCGTAGACCTCACCCCCGAGGTGATGGAGGAATGCCGGCGACACAACGCCGAGGTGATCGTTGCATACCACCCACCGATCTTCACGCCCTTTAGGCGCCTCACGTTGGCAGACCCGAAGCAAAGAATTATTTTGCAGACAGTGCGCTGCGGGGCATCCATCTACTCCCCGCACACCTCATTGGATGCCGCGGCGGGCGGTATCAACGACTGGCTTGCATCCATCGTTGATAGGGATGGTGTGTGTCGCCCCATCCAGTCTTGCGAGAGCGTGAATATGCAGGATAACGGTGGTTCCAGTGGAAATGATAATGGTGACGCAGCCGTGGGAATTGGTCGTATCGTGACACTTCACCAGCCAAAGGCAATGACCGGGTTGGTGAAGGACATAAAGGCTGGCTTGGGCATTCCCACCGTCCGTGTGTCGCTCCCGCATGGGTGGAGCAGCAGCACACCTGTGCGTTCGGTGGCTGTATGTGCGGGGAGTGGTTCTGGTGTGTTTCGTAAGCTAAAAGAGCACGTGGACGTCTTATTGAGTGGAGAGATGGGGCACCATGAGGTACTCGCCGCCAACGCCAAGGGACAGGCTGTTATTCTTTGCGAGCACACCAACACGGAGCGGGGATACCTGGAGAAGGAGCTGCTTCCAAGGCTGCAGCAGCGGCTTCAGAAGGATGTGCGTATCATGGTGTCCGCGGAGGACAGGGATCCGCTTGTCGTGTGGTAAGTGGTGTGTGTGTGTGTGTCTGGCCTTGTGCCCAGGTATTTGCGCCTTTTCTTCCCGACATCCAAAATGGTGGTTGTTGTGCTGGCTGTGGCAAAAAGGGGCCCAAAAGAGTGGATGGAGAGTCGCTTCACGTGTCTAGTGTTTGTTGATGCGTGTGTGGTCCCTTTACTGGTGGGTGGGTGGTTTCCCCTGCAAACTGTGCCTTGCTTTCCTTTGTGTTGCCGCTTGTGTTTGCTTCCTCATCGCACAGAAGGGAACCTTAGATAAGATAGATTATATATATATATATATATATATATATACTTCCTCTGAAGCTCAGGGATAAGGGCCTTTAGAGAAGAGGGTGCTTGTACACGCGTAGACACCACAACAGCAAGGTGAAGAAATTACAGATAGATAGAGCGAGAGAAGACGATATATATATATATAAGAAGAAGCAACCAAGGCTGCAATGAGTGCGGCAATCCTGTATGAAATTGAGGCGACGAGGCGGTTGGTGGATGTGTATTACTTCAGGCAGCTCACTCAGCTGCATGCCTCCCGCAGTGCGTTTACGCAGCACTTTGATCAGCTGGCAAGATTCCTAAACTCCAGCGCAAGTTACCGTCAAGAGCAGGTTGGCGCCGTCACACTGGACCCGTCGCTGACGACACCCGGTCGATCAACGTGCGCCAACGGCGAAACGATGATGACCTCACCGTCAATGGCCTCGCCGCCGGTGAACCGTGCGACACTCCAGTACGATCAACTTCTAACTGAGGTGGGCGAAGACAACCTTGCGGCGTGGCAGAGCTGCCCGGGCGACGAGTGGGAAACAGATGCATCCACGCGACCAACGCTAGACTCCATTCCAAAAGAGCGGCGCAGCCGCTCACCACCGAAGGATCGTTCTGTACCATGCAAAGTGGTCGTGGTGTTCAAACGCAAGCGCTTTGCTCTGCTTGAGTCGCAAGCGTACGTTGCCCCCGGTGAGTACGTTGTTGTCGGTGGAGATCGTGGGGAGGACATTGGGCTCGTGACGCATTCCTGGGTGCTGGATAAATGTGACCGCGATGGGGAAAAGAAGTGGGGTGATGGTGTGAGCTCTGTGCTTCGTGTGGCCAGTGCACTGGAGGTGTCGCAGCTGAAGAACGTTCAGACAGAATTGGAGGAGCGGGCGGTGGAGGTGGCGCAGAAGAAGGTGGAGGAGCACGGTCTTCCAATGCGCATCGTCGATGCCGAGTATCAGTTTGACCGGAAGAAACTTACATTCTACTACCAGTCGCAGCATCGGTTGGACTTTAGAACGCTCGTGCGGGACCTGTACAAGACATTCCGTGCCCGCATTTGGATGGAGGCCGATGTGCCCTCTTAGGAAGGAAGAAGATGAGGGTTGGAGAGAGGCACGGGAAACAACGACGACAACAAAATAGGGGAAATGAAAGGAGGGGGAATAGCCGGAGACGAGACTGCAGGTTGGTTATCTATCTGTGTGAGGCAGGGCTGGGTGACACAATAAGGGTATGTATGTTGGGAACGGCATGTTGCCCATATTATTTCCCGCTTTGTAACGCACACGTGGCACAACCTTTATGAGTGCCCGTAACGGAGAGGCATGCAGATCCGCCTTTTCCTTATATATATATATATATATATTTGTACGGAAGCAAGCACATACTTGGACGGATTACACGTGCACGTGTTGTTGACTTTGTGTTTGCTTGTTCTGTACATTTGTCTTTTATTTTTTCCTTGTGTGTGTGGTGGGGGGTGGAGGGGAGGGGAGGGGAGGGGGAGGGGGAATTCGCCTATTTGTTCTTGCTGTTGCTATTTACCTCTTGTTTTTGTCGGTCGCCAGTTTCCGATCTCTCTTTCTCTCACACACAAACTCTCGCCCCTTCTTACTTTCTCATTGCCTGCGTGTGCTTGAAGAAGCCTGTTGAAGTAGCAGAGAAGCGGGTGGTGCAGTTTGTGGATTTGCTGTAGATGCAATGCAGACGGCACCTGCTGTCGCCGGCACACTTCAGTTTGGTGGGAGGGCCAGAGTGCGACTCCGCAAAGCATTTGAGTGGCACGGAAGGATCTGCACGGTTCGGTGCCCTGCGGGGTGAAGGGCTTCTGGTTCTGCCAAGCGAGCCTGTGACAGGCGGAGAGAACGATTGCAGCAGCGCGGTCACGGCGCCGCTGGAGCGCATCTTTGATGAGGAGTGTGAGTTGCGCGAGAAGGAGTTTTTGCTGGCGCAGCAGAAGGCACAGTTGGTGCGGGATCTTAAGAAGAATATTTCACAGCTGCTGACTAAGCAGGACGAGGAAGTGCAGAGCACAAGCCTTTCTAGGCCGCGAGAGCTCGTGATGCAGCGGTCCAATGCTCACAGCTTAGATGACTACGTCATTCATAAGCCTGTCGATGTGATTGATGGAATGAACCGTATTAGTGCGTACGTCGGGGGTTGTGCTGCTGGTGGGGCGCCGCTGCAAGCCCCTTTGAATGGAACTTCCACCACCTCT